CTGTGCCTTGGCGTGTTCTTCCTTGCATCCAACTTCTTTGAGACTCTCTGAGCTTCCTGGACTTCCTGGAAGACTGTTCCCTTTGCCAGAGTGGGGAAGTTCTCCCTTATTATTTGTTCAAATAAGTTTTCCACTTGTTGCTCTTCCTCTTCTCCTTCTGGTACCCCTATAATTCAGATGTTGGAACGTTTAGAGATGTCCTGGAGGTTCCTAAGCCTCCCCTCATTTTTATGAATTCTTATTGCTTCATTCTTTACTGTTTGGTTGTTTCTTCCTTCTGGTCCACTCCATTGATTTGAAACCCAGTTTTCTTTCCATCACTATTGGTTCTGTGTGCATTTTTCTTCATTTCACTTATTGTAGCCTTCATTTCTTCATCTAATTTGTGACCAAAATCCACCATTTCTGTGAGCATCCTGATCACCAGTGCTTTGAACTGTGCGTCTCATAGATTGGCTATCTCTTGGTCGCTTAATAGTATTGGCTGCGCAGATTTGATTTGTTCTGGTTGAGCCATTGTTTTTTTTTTTTTTTTTGATATCTGTTACGTATGAGGTGTGGAGCCTTATGTGTTGACCAGGGCATGGCAACCCACTTGCTGGGTCGTGACCTTGTATGTGGGGTCAGAGTCAGAGAAGGAACAATGGCGCTTGCTCTGCTCTCTCTAGGACTTCAGTCCCCTCTGCCACTTCCCACAAGCAGATTGGGCCCTTCTGGTGCTGGCTCTTGGTCAGGTGGGCTTGTATATATTCTAGGACTCTGTGGGTCTCCCCAAAGAACTTGCCTATGAGGCTGGGAGGTGCTCCTGGCACCTCAACCCCCACAGGTGTTTTCAATCAGTACTTTTAGGCTTTATTTCCAGTGCTGGATCCCTGGGTTGCCCCGTCTGTATCCCTGCCCGTTTTCACCTGGTTTATCTGCATTCCAATTTGTGACTGCCAGCAGCCAGCTGCCTTGCACGCCTCACTGGGTCTACTCATTTCCTCCTGCGCCCAGGGTCTGCCCACCAGGTCTGTCAGCTGCCCCTGCGTGTCTGGGGTCTGCCAACTTCCACCTGGGCCCTTCACATCTGACTCTTCAAGTCACCACTTTTTCCAGCTGGGACTCCACGACCCGTCTCCGAAGGCCTCCAACTTTGCCCCTCCTACCAGTCTGCATAAATGGTTGTCAGACTTCTGTACAGTTCATTTTTCTCTGTTCTGGTTTTTTTGTTAGTTTGTTTCTAAATTTTTGTTCTCCTTAGTTTTGGTTTTGTGAGGAGGCACAATGTGTCTACCTACGCCTCCATCTTGTCTGGAAGTCACTTGCAGAAGCCTTTTTAAAAACTCTCTCTAAGCCCTGACCTGTGTGGCTTAGTAGAGAGGGCATTGCCTTCCTCAGTGAAAGGTCACTGGTTCTATTCCTGGTCAGGGCACTTATGTGTGTTGGTGGGTTCGTTTCCTGGTCAGTGGGTGTAGGAGAAGCAACTGACTAATGTTTCTCACACTGATGTTTCTCTTCCTTCCTTCTTCTCTCTCTCTGTTTGGAGAGACAAAGAGAGAAATCCCATCTAAGCTGGGCTCCAGACCAAATAACTCTCCCAGGGTGGGGCAAAGGCAAAAGCGAGATTTTTGTTTGTTTGTTCTTTGTGCTCCAGGGATTCTATTATCTGAGGATTAAGGAGTGAATCTTGTCAAAGCTAATCTCCAAGGAAGGGATCCAGGAGAGAGTCACATTTTTGGTTTTAGTGGTAGAATTTCAATAAACCAAGTTAACAGTTGATTAATCCCTTTATCTCTCCTCTCAGGTGTGGGTACTAAAATGGATTAGTCTGTAGTTTAACTCGCTCTGCCAGGTTGATCAACTACAGACACTATCCCCACCCCAGGCTTTCTCAGCCTTAGCACTACTGACATTTTGGAGGGGACCACTTTGTTGTGGGGCCATCCTGTGCATTGCAGGGTGTTGAGCGGTGAGCCTGGCCTCCCACTCACTAGATGGCAAGAACATCCTTTCCCCGATGTGACAATTAGAAATGTCTAGACATTGCCCAGTGTCCACGAGACATTTTACAAGTATCCACTCAGTCCACAAAGTTTTCTTGGACTGAGAATCTCCATCCTAAAAGATATTAACTCACAGGCCAAATAAGACAATTAACTCAGGTACGAAAGACTATAAAAATATGGTACACAAACCAGACAAAAATAAAAAAGAAACAGGAAAAAACCACCACTGGTGCAGATACCTTCAGAAACAGGTATATTTGAACCATCATCCAAGAAATATAATTACAAATAACAAACATCAGGAAAGAAATCAGCCAAATGCAATAAGAATAAAATTTAAAAACATCAATGTAGTTGAATATTAGTTAAAATACATATGTTTTACATATTATATATAATAGGTGGAATTAAAAAAACATTAGTTAGGACAGAATGAATGCAACAGAAAAACAAATTAAAGAGGTGAAGACCATATAGAAGACTTTTCTTGCAACAAGAAGGTATAAAGAAATTAGAGAAGTAATAGGATTCATGAGAGAACTGGACTTCCCTGAAAGAGGAGAAAATAAAAATGGAGAGGATGAAATGTTCAAAGAAATAATGATGATTTAGGGAGTTGCCGTGAGCTTTCACTCAGATTCCTACTGATTTCATCTGTTTAACCTTGGTTAAACAGGAACATAACAAGGGCACAAAACTCTTTACGAAACAGATTGTATTTGGATGAGCAGAGCAGAGAGACTAGGGGTCCTGGGTGAGAAAGAAAAGCAAACAAATCAATATTTCCAGGGATGGATTTGCTATTGAGACATTTAATGAGGCTTTCTGTCTGGGCAGGGACCCAGTGGAATCATTGATGACTTCCCATCTCTTCGTTAAGGATTCATGGATAGTTTATGCTGAAACAAAATGAGCTCAGAGTTTCCATAGACCCACCAAAATTAGCCATTTTTAGTTCAGTCACGACTTTACAGCAGATCTAAGATTAAAATAATGAAGGTCAGGGTGCTGTGAGCCTAACCTAGCTCTAAAAATGTGAACTCCAAAAAAAATTCTTTTCTAGGCTACGCACAATGGGATGAATTTTTAGAAAGAAAGAGTCAGACGCATTGGGTAGGTAGATGGTGGTGTGAGGCGGAGCCCAGTTAATTCGGGGTCTCCCCATTATTCTTGCTAACTTGTTGACATAACTTCCATTGTTCTGAGGGGAAAAAAGATCAGAAAGCATCAGAAAATAATTATTAAAATTTGGGGGTCAAAACAACCCTCTACTCTTCTACACCCCACACTAGGTACTGAATAACCTTCCCACTCCCATTCTACTCACAAGGAGTTTGAGATTCGTAGGGTTAAAAGACTGGTTGTAAGATTCCATATAGATTTAAACCAAAATTAGTCAAAAGCCAACCACCCTCCAATTCATCTAAAAGGTAAATTAAAAACTGGTTTACTGTTAACCTGACACAAACAACTCGCTATTTGAATGGATTTGTTCTGATTTGATCAACACCAGGAATTTCTAAACTGGTGATCCAATCACACCCACTCCTTGATTAAAATTGAACATTTACTCACTAATTCAAATGAAAACATTCACACCCCCACCTCCTATTATAGTTTTTTTCTGATTTTATAGCATCTAATTTGCAGAAACAAAAACTAAGATCCATGTAGAATTCCACTCTGTCTATAAACTGTCTTTTCCCAACCCTGGGGGGAATGGAATGTAGAGTGGAATCTACATGCATTTTATTGGTTTCTATTGTCTTTGCTTTTTGAAAACAATTTTTAAAAGTGTATTCATTCTACAGAGGTAGAGGAAGAGAGAGAGAAATCAATTTGTGGTTCTACTTATTTCTGCATTCATTGTTTGATTCCTGAAGGCATACTGACTAGAGGTACAATCCAAAACCCTTGCATATCGGCTGGACTTTCTAACCCACTGAGGACCCAGCCAGGGCTTAAAAATCTGTTTTAATTTTTGTCTCTCTAGTTTTTAAAAAAGGTAAAGTTGACTGATATCAAACCAGTTATGTAATCTATTTTGAACAACAGTTTAATGTATTCATTTCAAGATACTAAAACGAGTTTTAAATGTTTTTAAAGTGACTCTTCCTTGTGTATGAATAGTTACTATTCACTTGTTCAATACCTTGTATTGCTAAATTGGTATGAGATCATTCTCTTACTCTCCTGGTGTTCTGCCTCTGGTTTGCTGTGTGTCTTCTCAGAAATACGTTCTTCTCACACTTTGTCGTTTTATTTAGAATGATTTTAAAATGTTCATCTATTTTTAGAGAGAGGAGAAAGAAGGACATCTTATTTTATGTGTGTTTTATTTTTCCATTTTTATTTATTTATTTTTAGAGACAGGGGAAGGGAGGGAGAAAGAGAGGGAGAGGAACATCGATGTGAGAAAGAAATATCAGTGGGTTGCCTCTCGCACATGTCCCGACCAGGGACGGAACCACCACCCCAGGCATTTGCCCTGCCCGGTAATGAAACGCCGGACCTTTCGCTTTGCTAGACAATGCCCAACCCACCGATCACAATACAAGGGACAGATGATCTGTTCTAGAATTGTACCCCTGAATCCTATGTAATTTTATTAACTAATGTCACCCCAATAAACGCAATCAAAATAAATTAAAAAAAGGTTTTTTAAAAATCATTTACAACTAATAAAAATGTAGGTGATCGTTCTCAAACTTGTTAGAACCTGTAGATCTCTATTTCTTTGTGATGTTTGTCTATGGCTCTATATATCTCGATGCCTTCAAACACCTCAGCTGTATGATAAATACCGTAATTCACTAGACTAGACCAAGGCACTAAATGTTGGGTCCAACTGAGGGTAATTTTTTTCTCCTGTGAAGTTTCAGCGGGAAAATTTAATCAACGCTGATAGTCTAAATGAGTGGGCGGTCCCATGGCCTTCGACCAATCCTAGGGCTAACAGAGAACAGGGGGGTGGGGCCTGGAGCTTCTGTATAAATGGAGACCTTTCATGGCATGGCACAGTTAGTCCAGCTCCAGACTCAGGGTGTCTTAGGCACCGGGGACGCGGAGAAGACCGAAGAAGACTGCAAAGAAGGTAAGGCAGGCCTGAGGATGTCTGAGGGCATTTTGAAATGAGGATGGATGGAAGTGGACTTCAGGAAGATTTGGGTTTATGTTCATGGTGCATTATTTCCGTGATCTCAGGAAAACAAGGTGTCTTCCTTGTTCCCCGTTCACTCGGAATTCTTGTACAACTCCTGGTTTAACATGCGTGGTGTGGTTTACGTTTTTATTTTAGTGCCTGATTTTATGTTATTTCACTTTTTTTTTTAGTGAGAGACTGCATATTTCTCTCTTTTTACCTTTACTTATCAGTTAAAGTTGACCTAGAGTATTATATAATTGTAGTTTCAGGTGTACAGCATAGTGATTAGACATTTATATTACTTAAGAAGGGATCCCCAGAATAAGTCTAGTACCCGCCTAGCACCATCCATGGTTAATACAATATTATTGACTATATCCCCTGTTCTGTACTTTACATCTCCAAGAGTATTCTGTAACTACCAATTAGTACCCCTCAATCCCCTCACCTCTCTCGCCCAGCCCCCCTCCCCTAACCCTTCTCCTCTCTGGCTACCATCAGTCTGTTCTCTGTATCTATGAGTTGGTTCTGATTTTGTTCTTTAGATCCCACTGATGAGTGAGACCAAATGGTGTTTGTTTTTCTCTGACTAAGTTCACTCAGCACACTGCCCTCCAGGTCCAACTGAGTTGTTACCAATGGCAAGATTTCATTCTTTATGATGGCTGAGTCATATTCCATTCAGTAGAAGCACCACTTGTTTATCCAACCATTTCTTGATGGGCTTTTAAGTTGCTTCAATATCTTGGCTCTGATTTTTATTGCTTCCTGTGACTATGTGTTTTTCTTTAATGTGAAAGGAACCTGGAGGGATTAAAAATAAACAGTGGAATCACAGCCTTCTCCCTGATGGCAAACAACCTGAAACCCCTTAATTCCCTGGATTCCAGACAGTCTTTTCTCCCATCCCAAAGCTTGTGCAAGGATGCGTTCACCTTCCAGACAAGAAACTCTAGGAATGCTCGCCTCCCCCACCTGTCCTAGGAGTTCACCTTCCTGACTCTCAGTGACATTGCCCAGACCTTCAGAGGGACCCCCTATCTCTGGATAGAAGGAAGGTTCTTGTTTTTCCCTGGCTGTTTTCCTTGGAATCAAATGCATCTCTGGAGAAAACAGAAAATAGCTTTTTGACTTTAGGAGGTAGGTTCAGGACCCAGGCATAACTTCTTTCTAAACATCTTGATTCCTGGAAATTGCAAAGGCCATTGGGTTTTAATCTGTTTTCTGGAATGAGATTAAGTATAGGTGATTCAGCCCTGGCTGTGTGGCTCAGTGGATTGAACATGGGCTACGAACCAAACGGTTACTAGTTGATTGCCTGTTCAGACACATGCCTGAATTACCGGCCAGGTCCCCAGTGGGGGCCACATGAGAGACACCCACACATTGATACTTCTCTCCCTCTCTTCCTCCCTCTCTAAAAATAAATAAATAAAATAGTTTTTTCAAAATGTATACAGGGTTCTGTTAATCCATTAATCCCATAATCCTAGCAGCAGATTGTGCTGTAGGGGGTTGGGAGTGGGTGAGCAGGAACTAGAGGATTGTCCCATGGTACAAGGTTACCTTTAGTGGTAATGAAAAATGAGGTTCAAACAACAGAGGGAATGCCTTAAGAGGCACGAAACCATAAACTTTAAAAAAGAATTAAATGGGTGAATTTTTTTTCCTGTGCATCTTACCACAATATCAAATGATCTGTAGGAGCCTAACTCTATCTAGTAGGATTTGTGTGTGTGTGTGTGTGTGTGTGTGTGTGTGTGTGTTCTCCCTTCCCTGGAACAAAGAAGGAAATGTTAGGGGACAACTTCGGGTTAATATTTTCCATGTTTCCCCTGGCCAGGTGGCTCTCAGTTGGTTTGAGCATCGTCCCGTGCGCCAGAAGGTTGCTGATTCGATTCCCAGTGGGAGCGCAAACAGGAGGTAATGTGTCCCTCTGTCACATTGGTGTTCCTCTCTCTCTTCCTTTTCTTTCTCTCTCTCTCCAGTCAATAAACATCCTCTGAAGAGGATTTAAAAATAAATCTTTCTTTTGTTACTACACCACGTGCAATTCTCTGGTTGTAAATATGTTTCTGTATCTTCCTACAGAATCATGGCTGATACAGTGATGAAAAACTACCAATCTATTCTCTGTTCAGGGATGTCAAACTGCTTTTTACTGGGGGCCACATCAGCCATTGTGGTGGCCTTCCAAGGGCTGAAATGATTTTAGGACTGTATAAATGTAACTACTCCTTAACTGTTAAGAAGTTGAAATTACATTCAGCCCTTTGAAGGCAACTTCGAGGCTGATGTGGACCCTGGTGAAAATGAGTTTGACACCTGCTGTATCATATCTTGATAAAAAGCTATATAAGCTGATGTTACTATTAAAATACATTTTAGAAGCATCACACGTCATGACCGTATTTAATTTACAGTATAGTAAAAACAATATTGTTCCAACTCACAGATGAGAATACTGACCCCCTTAACCTGTGTGCATTTAGGAGTCAGAACCTAGGGGGCCATTCAGACGTGGAGAACCAGCATTTGTAATCAAATGTGGACATCAGAGAATGATAGTCCGGGTTAACTTCCAGGGTATTAAGTATGAGACTAGTGAGTGATGTCTCGTATTGTGAGGAGGGTTTTCGAGGGGAGGGAAGGGCAAAGTATTAGGTTAAACTCATTTTATTCCTCTTTTCCCCCTGCCCAACGTCTGGATTTATTGCAGAGTCAACCCCTTCCTTGGGTCTTCATTAGTTGCTGGCTTCAGGAAGAGTTCTCTCCAGTTACATTGAAAATTTTTCCAGTGACTATGGATGCACACCAGACATTCCTGTGTGGTCCTGGGAAACCCCAGGAAGGCCGGGGATCACAGCTGGTACCGTCTGCACTGCCCCAGGGAAGCCTTCCTGGCAGGCATGGACGGGACTCGGAAATGTGGCACGTAGCCTTCAGAGCCTTCACCAGCTCGAAGGACTCAGACCCGGTCCAGGATCTGCGGAAACTCTCTGAGCTCTGCCGTCTGTGGCTGAGGCCAGACCTGCACACCCTGGAACAGATTCTGGACAAGCTGGTGTTGGAGCAGTTCATGATCTCCATGCCCCTGGAGCTCCAGGTCTTGGTCAAGGATCACAATGTACATAGTTGCAAAGACTTGGAGGACATCCTGAAAAGTCAGGAGAAACCTAAGACATGGGTGAGTAGGAACCTCAGGGTTGGCATGGGGAAGGGAGGGCAGGCATTGGGGCCAGGCTGGAAAGGGCAGGTGGGATTGTTTCTGTGTCTTTGGTTCTCCAGTGGGGACCCTTGGAGATATCTGGATACATTGTGCGCTGTCAGATTGGGGGGCAGAGAGCATGCTAGAGGCCAGTGGTGCCGCTCATATTCTGTACTGCCCTAGAGAACCATGCAGCTTCGAATGTCGACTGTGTCAAGGTTTAGAAACCCTAGTCTGTGACCACACAAAGTGTAAATGTCGGGTCAGATGCATACAAAGAATATCATGCATGTGCTTCTTATTTTGTTTTGGTGTTCTCCCCACAGACTATAGTCAGCATTGAAGGACAGAAGTTTCTGGTGCACAATTCAGTCCAGATGGCTGGAGTGAAAGTGGGTGATGAGGACCCTGTGATGGGCTTGTCTATGAAGTCCCGGTCCTTCGTGTGTGAGGAGGAGGTACATGGCGAGAACAGCCGGGAGGTCAGCCAGGAGCCAGAGAATCAGTCAGAAATCAAGGACATGTCAAGGGAGCAGGTGAGTGTGTGATGCCCTGACTTGCAGGGAGAGGTGGGAGAAGGTCCAAGAGGAAGAAGCAGTGGGTGGAGTAATGGGGACATTTGGCCCAGGACATAACAGGACCTGTTAAATGCATCCCAAGAATGCATTCAATTCCTAGGCATTTCTGAACTCATCTGGACAATAAAGACTCACCAGTTTTTGCCCCTCCCCCACACACAGGCCAGTGAACTCAAGGCTAATTTTCTTCAAAAGGCATTTCATGAAATGATAATTGGCCAAAGGACCTGTTTTTGGAATATTGCCCATTTCTTAACTTTAAAGGAATGGATCTCCCTGGAGTCCTTTTGCCTCCAAGGCGACTGTAGCCAATGGCGGAAGACACTTTGGGTTGTCCACCTGCATGAGGGATGCTATGGGTTGTCCACCTGCATGAGGGATGCTATCGCTGTCCAGTGGGCCACTGTCCACTGTCCTAAATGTGCCACAGAATAGTCCAGGCAAAATGTCAACAGGGATGACTCAGGAAATCTGGGGCTAGAATGGCTGTGCTCCCACAGTCAGGAGTAGGGGGCATGTGGGATGTCCTGAAGAGACATGCTTAGAGAATTAAGAGTAAAAACTGTCAGATACAGGCCTGACTGGTGTAGCTCAGTGGGTTGGGCATTGTCATGCAGACTGACAGGCTCAATTTTCATTAGGGCACATGCGTGGGCTGCTGGCCAGGTCCCTGATTGGGGGCAAGTGAGAGGCAACTGATTGTTGTTTCCGTTGCACATCCATATTTGAAAAAAAAAAGGAAAAAAACCCTGTTAGCATAGACTTGACTGAAATATGTGGTGGGTACAGATGAACAACAGACAGTTGGGTGATGGTTTAGGTGCAATGGAGTGGCCCCCAAGACAGTCTGAGTAGAGCTGCAGAACTGCACCATTAGGGTAGCTGGAGTCTCAGAGCAGGGAGTTGGGTAGGTTGGGGGAGGAGGAGATGGAGCTTTCTATGCCTGAATGTACACACATCCATAATCCCTCTTGGTTGTCAGGGACAGACAGCTCTTCTGCCAGAGACCATCCCCGAGGAAGGCGACCTGGAGGGAGTGAGACTCACGAGGATGCTGGAGGAGGACCCGATGGAAGATCAGGAAGAGATGACGCTGCTTGCACTTCCAGAGCCTCAGCTCCAGAGGGGTCCTGGTGAGTGTGGGCACGGGGGCTTCAGTGGAGTTAGTGACCTGGCCGGGTAGGAAAGTTCTCAACCAGCATGAGCACTGGTTCCATCATGCTTGCTTGTTTTGAACACGCTCTCAGTTAAATGGTATGTGGTGAATCCTGTCTTCCAGAAGTTTCTGTGGGGATGGAGAGTGAGGAGAACCTGCCAGAAGGGACTGGCCCTGAAAATGTAAATTCCATCCACGATTGGGAGACGGACATTTTGCCTCAGCATCGGAAAAGAAAAGATCCTCAGGCTGCAAGAGGTCCCCTCAGAAGAAAATTTCTTTATGCCTCCATGCCCCAAGATGTTCCAGAAAAAGGAGCCATGTGGCTGGATGAAGGAGAACTCTCCAGACAGCTCAGGACTCATTCAGGTCAGGCACGAAGCATCTCGGGAGACACTGTCAGAAAAGGAGCCAGACGACGCACTCTGTCCAAATGTGCAGATGGCAAGAAAACATTTATGTGTGAATCACAACTAATGATTCAGCGAAGGTCACACACTGGAGAGAGGCCCTTCGAGTGCCAGGTTTCTACCAAGAGGTTCACACAACCTTTGGATCTGGGAGTTTACCAGCAAGTCCACACAGGTGAGAAGCCCTACAGCTGTCAGATCTGTGGGAAATGCTTTGCCCGTGAATCCACGCTGCGAGGCCACCGGAAGGTCCACACGGGGGAGAAGCTGTATTAGTGCAAGGTCTTCACAAGCGTTTTGGTCACAGTGGGAACCTCAATATCCACCTCCACACCCACACGGGCCTCAGGGCCCTCCTCTGCCCCGAGTGTGGCCAGGACTTCCGTCTACTGGGGACTTTGAAATGCCACACACACACACACACACACACACAACACATTTGAACGTTACTTCCTGAGGATTCCAACTCCCTTTTGCCCGAGAAGGAAATTGTGTCACCTGTGTTGGAAAAATGATGGCTGTCAGGCTATACCCATACAAGTTGTCTAGAACACAGTAGGGATTCTATACTTTGGAATTCAGATCCTTGAATAAGCACAGACCTTCCTTACTGGTTTGTTTTCCACCTCATTATAACCTATTGTTTCCTTCCAAACAGGATGTTTTCTGGTTGTTTATTATACTCTTTCTTCCAATGAAATGCAAGTCTGGTTCATTGTTTCAATAAATAGCCCACAATTCAACCATAATCTCTTTTGTCCTCTTGTTGTTCTTTATTTCATTGTAGAAGGGGGTGATCCCAGTAGGGAGGCCAGATTTACTACAGAACAGCCAGTCCAGTGACCATTTCTGCTTGACCATGCTGTTCCCAACACCTGGACTCTGCTTTGAAGGGCTGAGTTGTTACAGAACAACAAGGGAGGACCTAAGGGTGATATACTGTTACAGCAAGGAACCCCCCAGGTTCGTTATGTCTGCCACCAGAGGAAACACGTCTCTCAAATCCCTTTCTGGGGCCCCCCTCTTGGCTGCACCCTGTTAAAATCCCTCCTTTTAGATTTACACCCACTTTATAATCTTATAAAAGACAATAGACGAAGGTCTCATCTTCTTGTAACTACTTCTTGCTGGATATGGATGTCATCCTACCTACCCTTGGGTCAGGGGTGCCCTGAAAGGGAGGAGCAATTAGCACAGATGGAGTCCTTCCTGTAAGGGGAGGGACATTACAGAATCCCAGTCAGTTAACTGTCACCAGGAAGTCCCAGGCTTGGTGTCCAAAGGCTGGCATTACTGGGCCATAGGCATCCTGGTCATATTCTGGAAGTGACAGATTTGGAAAGAATTGGAAGGCACAGTTAAATCAGAACCACTAAATGACAAAGGCAGGGACTTAAGTAAAGAATGGCTTAGCTGGAGGAAGGTGTACAAGGCATGCTACACCTATCCAAAACCCTTGTGGCCCACTATACTTCACTCGGGCTGAGGAGAATATATTAGAATTTCCCTTCTTTCAGATATGTGGTCCCTTTCTGTCCAAGCCCTCAAGACACAAAATGGGAAATCAGTTCTAAAGTGAAGCCCACAGACCACCCGATCACTTCACCATCCCAACCATATAGGTTCAGCCAAACTGTTGAGTCTCAGGGTGATGATGAACATGGGCTCCTTAAGTGAGGCCTATATTGCACCCAATCCCTCAGGTAATGATGTCATAGACATATGCTGTACAAAAACAGAAGAACACACAGGTTAATTGACAACAGTCCCCAAGCCAGTCTCTTTGCCTGGGAGACTGTCTTTTGGGAAGACATTCATTTTGGAGGCCCTTTCTGCACTGACATTTAGCTATGGCAATTGGACAGGTCCGCCATACCTGTAAATTGTACATCTTTGGTGATCTTACAAACCCAGTTTCAACTTTCAAATGAAAACAAACTTTCAAGACAGTTAACTGTGCCATTCTGATGTCCAGTACTGAGAATTGTGATTTTCCTTGAACTGCAATTTTCCCCCTTAAAATCACCCTCAGCATTATTACAGGACTACTTTGTGTCCTGCTTTTTATTTTCCCTGTTCGTTTGCATAAACACACCACGAGCAGCCTGGATCACTTATGATCTTTAAGTCTACTTTGCTGGAACTCACAGAGGGAACCTTTAGATTGATTTCTCAGTCTGCCCCTCGGGGCACAGAAGCATAGCCACACATCTGCCATCTGGCTTCGCCTGTATGAGTGGTTTCACTCAAATCCTTGAGGTTTCCATTGTGCCTACATGTTCCTTTTTGGCCATCTTCCAGGAAAGCAACTTTCATTCCTTCCCTGGCAAGACTGCCATTAACTGCACAACCAACCAAAGTACCAGGCTTTTCTTGTGGGCTTATATTAGCTTCACAAGTCAATCCCAGTTCTTCAGGGCTCTCTGGTGATGACAAGAACCCATACATGCATTCTTTAGGAGTGACATTCCCGTCAAAGTCTTGGTTAACAAAACCAGTATTAATGACTGGTCTTATTGGATTTATGCAAGGAAACCTTATGTCATCACTCATTCCTTCAGAATGCCAAATTCTGGAGGGATCAGGTAGACAGAGAAATACAAAGTGTGAAGGAAAATCCTTTTCATTCTGATATCCACCAGGCTTCTCAAAACTTTCACTTCCACTGACCTTCTGCAACACTCACAAACCCTCTAATCTTTCTTTCCTACACCTTCTTCATTTACATATCATATACTTCTCCATTTATTTTCCTACAGAATGTGAAGTTTCAACCTTCCCTGGAATCCTCCGTTTCCTTTTCAGAGCAGATACAGAGCAAAATCCAAAACATAGAGTTCCTGAACACTATACAGGTGGAGGCATTCTGTTGCACTAGTGCGTCCATTGGTGTCTCACAGAGACATGCTCCTTCAGGCCCAGTCTCTTGGCAGAGACATGCCTCCTTTGCCTCAGGCTGAAACACTCATCAGCCCCAAATGACCCCTCCTGGGGCCAGAGAGGCAAACTGTAAGTGACCAGACAGGGGCAGCCTGGGAGCAGCATACTAACCAAACCATTATCCACAACTCCATTGTTCCAAAACAGTGTTCAGAAACCAGTTTTCAACCAAATGATTTCACTTTTTTCCTCCCTCCCCGTTTTGTTTCCTTTTCACTGTTCCAGGTGTGATTGGGCAGCCAGTGCACTCAGGAGGAACGCAGAAAAAAATCTCGAGACTGGAAAAATTCTGTAGTCTCTCTCTCACATCTGAGGGAGTCAGTTTGCCATGGACAATTATTGTCCTCGAGAAGTCGCCAAAAACTGTTACAGAACAACAAGGGTGGCTTAAGGGCAATATACAATTACCAAAAGGAACCCCTTGGGCTCGTTATGTCTGCCACCAGAGGAAAGACATCTCTCCATGCCAGAGATTCCTGAAAAGGAAAGGAAATGCTTATTTAATTCCATACAGACTTAAAGTAGTGACCTAACGTCTTCATCAAAATCCCAAAGTCCCTTAAAACACCCACAAACATGCACAGTCCTTCCTTCCCCCTTTGTCCACTCTGGGGTACCATATCTCAGGAAAAGAAATATAAGTCAGTGGCTCAGGCAGTCCCCAGTTCTTCTCAGTAATCCATCTCTGCTGGTAGACTTCCCTCTGTTCCTGGCACCATCAGCTGTGTCACCAGAATCTCTGCTAAAGCCGGAGTCCTCACTCTGCTAAAGACCCAGTGGTTCTCTCCCTCCGATATTGCTGTCGCTTCTGGGTTTAAATCTCTGCACCAATCTTCCTCTGCAGCCCCATTTCTGATTCCTCCCACAATTGACCACACCTGCCAGCATTCTCATATCCTTCCAGCTTCACTTGCTCCCATTGTGGTTCTGGGCAGGTGTGGCCCCATGTCATGGAGCCAATCCTCTCCAAGCTCCCATGCAGGTGCTGTAACTTGGGGGACCTGGCCCTCAGGTAGTCTTGGTGGGGAAGTTACTTCCATTCCCCTGGCTCAGAGCATGGCCACAGCTATTTAACACGTCTATGTAACCAGTTAAAGGTTACAGATATGTTAAATGACCACACCAGAGGGGAGCTGCAAAGCTGTTGTTATGCAAAACAGCTCTCAATGGCTCTGCTCCATTTGTCCCTTCGCCCAACCCACACCTGGAGGGCGGGTGATGACAGCCTAATATTTCCTGGACACCTTGAGATCTGGACCCCATTCTCAACCCCTATTTGGGGTCCCCCGTCTTGGCTACACCCTGTTACAGACTGAGGGTTTAGAAGGAGGCTGAGTAGGGCCATGTGTGGCAAACAATCCAGTCACTGCCACCTCTAGCTGCGCCCCCCAACCTGCTGCATCCACACAGTTTAATTTGATTGTTGGAAATTAAAACCTGCCAAAGCAGAAACTGGGGGTGTGGGTCCCACGTGCTGGTTGAACCAGCCCTCCAGGTGATTGTCATAGAGGTGATCCCTGAACTGCAGCCCTTCCTCCCTGGTTCTTAGGCCTGGAGTCACCTGGTGGGAGTTTTGCTTCATTTTGGTTTTATTTTGAAATCATTCTAATGCCACAAGAGTTCCAACAAAAGCTCAAGGAGGTCTCCAGTATTAAAAATGGCCTGAGAGCTGTGCAGGTGAGTGAATTTAAACATCCTAAGGGGACAGGGTGACTGGGTTTGCTTGTATTTCTTCCCATCCCATTGCCTCCACTGGTGCTCTTTTCAGAGATTCAAGGGTGGTTTTGGTCTCCAGAAAGGCCACAGTTGTTTCTCAAGCCAGCAGCTCCCATTGAAACTCTTGCAGCACTGATGAACTTGAACTCAGCCATGAACTAGCCTGTCCTTCCCCATGTCACTGGCTTCTCTCCTGCCCCCTCCTCGGCCTCACAACCTCCTTGTTTTTTTTTTTTTCCCCAGGTTTGTAAGTATCAACACCCCCTTTTTATGGGTAAATTACCTCAGATTGTTAGAATGAAAAATTAAAAATTTTTGGACGTGGACATGTTCACCATGGAGTAATGATGAAATACAGAGAAAATAAAAGAAGACATCTTAGAAGTGTGCTTTCTAAGTACAGAGTTTTTAAAAATAATGTAAGTGGTTTTAAAACATGTTTTCTAAGAATTTCTAAAAAATTCCTGTTAATACCCAGAGGTGTTAGTTGTTCAGGAGTCCGCAAGAAACAAAGTGGTCGGGGGTGGGCATTGTTCCATTTGGAGCACTGAGGTTGAAAATGTTAAAAGTTGCAGGATTAGCAGTGTGGAAAAGTATCTTGAGTCATTGACGTTAAGGAC